TTACAGTAGGAAATGTACAAAATATCTTCACGGAACATGATCTTTACTTAATATCCTAATGATTTTTGGCATAAAAGAAAAATGTATAATTTTGACCCATACAATGTATTGTTGGCTATTGCTACAAATATACCCCAGCGACTTAACACTGCTTTTGTGCTGCAGGGTCACATATTGTGTGCAGCATTTTAACTTATGACTCAATCAGCGGAGTACAAATACACTAGTATTAGCTCTCAAAGGTTTTGAATATCAACGCAACTGAAAATTGTGTTTTATTCCATGTTTATGCCCTTAAAAATATCTTTTAATTGTAGACCAATTATCATAAAACTGCATTTGATGCCACGAACGAGGAGAACAGGTGATTATCAGTCTTCACACAGCAGGAGTTCTGTAAGTGAGCTCTAGGTTTATTCCCACAGGTTTCCTGGGGTGCGGATGAAAACGTATTCATAATAATAATAATAATAGTCATCATCCAAACATAACCAGTACATTGTCTAGGGCAAACATAATGATACGAGCAGATGAACACCAGAAACACAGACAAACAGATCAGTGCCAAAGCTGGTTTATTATTTTATTACAAAAATAAAATACAAATGACTATAGAGACACAGCAGACGTCAGAAACGCTCACGGACCGTCAGAAGAGTCAAGTAAGTACGGGACACTACTGTTATGAATGAGAATGAAGTAAAAGCTCGACGTGCTTACAGAAGAACTGGTTTGCGCTGTGATTTGGCTCGATATTAAACGTCTCTTTTATTAATCACACATTTGACAACAGACTTGGAGCTGCTCGATGTCAAAGGTTTCATATTTCAGAGCACCAGAGTAACGCGACCGGCGGTGCTCAAAACAACGTCTGCAATCATCGTGACGCCGGAAAACACTAATGATCCAAAACAAACAGAGTTAGAAGACAAACTCAGACAAACTAACGTCTCGACTCTCACTCGAACACAGTAGTGAGTGTCCGGTGAAGAAACGCATTCGCTCGGATTACACAGGGACGGAGTCGAGTATTGCTCGTTACTGCAGCTCACAACAGAGAGTCCTGGGGTTTTGCATAGCCTAGTTAGTTAGTTAGTTAGTCTGGATCTCAACTGGGAAAGGCACAGAGTCTGTAAACGTTGTGGGAATTGGGCTGGAGTCGAAGAATCGAGTACGACGCCGTCCTTCAGTGCAACAGTGACGCATGAAAAAACAAACGCGACAGACTCTAGAAAACCAACCGGAAACATTCTGATCTTGATTTTAGCCCTTAATGCAGTAGACGTCAGTCTGATCAGAGGCTATCAGCCTCTACGACACACATCTGATCACATCTGTGCTTCACTAATGAACACTAATCATAGAGGTGAGTCATGTGACTACTCACTCACACACACACACACACTCTCTCTCACACACACACACTCACACACACACACACACACACACACACTCTCTCACACTCTCACACACACACACTCTCTCACACACACACACACGGGACGGCACGCTTGTTTACAGCAGCCGAGTGAAAAAGGTAAAGGCCACGATGAGACACAAGACGATCAGCTGACTGTGTGTTTATCTGCTCTATCAGCACAAACATCACATAAACTACAAGTGCCGCCCTGCGTGTGTGTGTCTCTGTGTCTCTGTGTGTGTGTGTGTCTCTCTCTGTGTGTGTGTCTGTCTCTGGGCTGAGGTCTCAGGGCAGCTGTGAGAATCAAACCGTGGTGTGTATGATTGGTTCAGTGTGTGAGAGGGATGCAGTCAGAGACGCACTCGAGGCGTTACGCTGCTCAGAAGACAGTCTCTCCCAGACTCCTCACTCCTGATCACACACACCGGGCCCCTGACACAGAGCCTCCTCCTCGGGCCCCAAGCCCTCGTCCAGCTGGCACACACACACCTCGATGCCGGAGTCTCCGGTCACGTGTCTGCGCCGGCCGCTGGGCTCCTCGCGCTCCTGCTGCGTCTCCTGCGTCTCCAGCTCCTGCTCTGGAGGAGAGTAGGGTGGAGGAGGCGTGGGCGGGTGAGCCATCACCTCCTCGTAGTCGGGCAGCTTACAGTCCGTCCAGAAGCCTGTAGGTGATGCACACACACGGTCAGAGCTCCACACAAACCACAGACGACTGACTGACCAGCTGCAATGAATGCAGTCTTAAGGAGGACTGATGGACTATACTCAATACGATCGATCAGGCTCTTCTGAATGACAAGCTCAAACAAAAACATTAAAGCACCATAACGGCCCGTCACATGACTCCTCTGACGTCATACGACCGTCAAACATCATTCACGTCTGTGTTCAGTGAATAATGGCAGCTTTGGAGTCATATGGACTAAAGTTAATGTTGCATTATATTTAGCTGAGGACATCTCCTTTGTGTCATGGAGGAGCAAACAGCATAGAGATGAGAAATGAGGTCACACTTTAGTTTGGGGACCAATTCTCACTGTTAACTATTAACTAAGAGTTTCCCCTCAAACGCCTGATTTGCTGCTTATTAAGAGTTAGTAAGGTAGTTGTTAAGTTTAAGTCTGGGTTTGGATTAAGGGATCTGAAATATGGTCATACAGAATAACGCATTAATATGTGCTTTATAGTAATAATGCAGCCTTATGTCTCTCATGGGACGAAGAGGATTAAGTAAGCTATAATAATAATAATAATAATAATAATAATAATAATAAACAGCCAATATGCTAGTAATATGCATGCAAATAAGCAACTAGTTAATAGTGAGAATTAGTCCCTAAAGTGTTACCATAAGAGAACTAGCCAGCAGGGTCATTCCTAGAGAACCAGGTTCTCCCTCGGCTGATGTCGAAAACCAGTGATCGGAGCGGTTTTTGTTGTGTGTGGGTTTCATGATAACGGAGATGGAATATAAACACAATTTGCGCGATTAAGAGAGCAAAAAGTTGGGCTAAGAGACCAAATCTACTACGACAACTTGCAGTGTTACATATCATCGAGGCTGAGAAAAGAACACAACGGGTAAATGCCCTTAATATCGCTGCTTTCCATGTTCGTGGAGTAAATATGATTGCATGGCTTTTTAAAAATGCCAGGTGGTCTGTGTTTCGTAAACGTTTGGCCAATCAGCGTACACTTACGTCACTGATAGTTCCTATAGAACCGTCCCTAGTTCCTGCGGTTAACACAGAGCTGAAATGTTCAACAGCCCAGAGAGGAAAACTGTGTGGTGCTAATAATGCACAGGAGACGAGAAGATGACGTATTTTCCCCGAGTTTATTAAAACGCCGACACACTTTTAAGTTGTGGGTGAACGAATCCTTCATATCAAGTGACACGGCGCCAACATTTACTGTATTTTCTGATCATTTCTAATAATAGTAATTGCTTACATTTATATAGCGCTTCTCTGGGTACTCAAAGTGCTTTACATAGAAGGGGGGGTCTCCTCAAGCACCTCCTGGATGAAGCGACGGCAGCCATACTGCATCAGAACACCCCCAAACACCAGCTTACTGCTGGAGGAGACCGTGATGAAGCCAGTCAGAATCTGGGGATGATTAGGAGGCCATGGTGATGCCGAGGTCACGCCTACACTAGTCCTCTAACCAGCACTGACACATCAGAAACTAGTCCAGCTCACTGGTCAGTTGTTTGGTGACCAGTGGCCCGTTTCTGAAGAGAATAAAGTGCAGAGACTGGCGTCAGAGACCAGCCGCTGACAGGTAGAGCGTCAGTGATGCCGATATATATCATCTGTGATATCGTAATTGTTGTTTTAACGATGTGCAATTTGACATTATCGAGTATTTTGCAAAAACCGTTCAAAACACCCTCAGAGTGCACGCATACATTACATGAAGCCTAGACTAGAGCGAATTTAGAGTGTGTTCTCTCACTGCATGATTCAGTCTAATAAAATACATTCAGAATGATCACAAAATTCAAGATATGGGGGCAGAAAATTTATATATTTATATCATTTCATATAGCTAATCAATATCAAACAAAGAGTGCCATTTTTTTTTCTACAAAAATTACCATGATTACAAACGTGATATTGATTTTTTACAACAGTTCAATAAACAAGAAGTTAATTAAGAGACTTATGTTTTAGACACCATATGCCTGTTTGTGACTTGCTGCCGGTTTTAATTTCACATTTATAGTATCTTTTTATTATTTCAATAATTTCAAATATCAGTATTCAATGTTTTATTAATATATCAAAACATTTATGCATTTGAAACTGCAGGTTAAATGCATTCATGTTCTGCACTAAACAGTAGCGTGTAAAATACATACATTTATACTACGGAGCCGTTGAACGCTTGAATCTGATTGGCTGATGAGCGTTCTAAGGTGTGCAGTTATTTTCAGGGAAACGCACGGTGAAGTAGTTCCAGGCAGCTTTTGACTGCATCACATGACCATATCACTTCCCAAATAATTTGAGTTATTTCAAAGGTCCTTACAGCCAAAAACAGCAAAAGAACCAAACCCCACAACGACACTGACCAAACAAATAAATACAGTTAACAACAGGATGAAAAAGACAGATTATTTCCATATTTTTGCCACAAACTCATGTTTTATTATGTATGGAAAGCACTCTATTTATCCCGCTCGCTCTCCCTCACAGACACACACAGAAACATAGGCTACGTGCTAATGTTGTTAGAGCTACTCTGACGATTTTATCAGTAAAATAGCAGCTTAAAGACTACATGACATTCCTCACAAGCGAGGCACGGTTCTTGAGGAAAGTGAACTTAGATTCAGACTCAGAGAGGCCATCTCTCCCTCTCTCTAATAATTAACTGCATTATTGTAACTGTAGTCATTAACTGCATTTGTCTGCAACGGCTCAAGCCTCGTTACTAGGTCTAAAATGATGTTTGGGAATTAGCAACGGAGCGTTGGATGAGATGTGGAAGAAACAATCCTACTCACAATAGCGTTTTAAGTAGAAAAACCAGACAAATGCCTTGAAATATCTCATCTGATCGATGTCTTGAGGTGTGGTAACCGTTAGGGCTGGGTAAAAAATATTGATGATATCTCGATATTAATCGATTCTCATTTTTACGGAACGATATCGATTCCTAAATCTCAAGAATTGATTAGTCTCGCCTGTTTTCAGTTAATGGAAGGAACACTGAAGCGCACTTCCCATCCAATATATCACAATAAGCATTGTGCTTTGGTGCTTTTAATATGAAACAAAGTCTCAGATTTCAAATTCTGTCCATTGTATTGCAGTATTCAAACAATAAATGCTGTTTTGATGCTGTTTAATGTGAAGTGACAGATCGCTGTAGCGTCTCAGTTCAACAGACGCAGCAGCGCGAGGCGCACGTGAACTGATCATCTCCTCCGCTTTAATACTAGTTATAGCACAGAATAAACATGACTAAACGTCCGAAGGTAAGTTAAAAGAAAGAGTACAGCTTTACAATCCGTATCCTGTCTCGTGTAATCGCTCGATCAGTGTTTCAGCCGCGCAAAGACTTCAATATAACGGCTTGTAAAGAGTGTCACATAACGTCACATTTACCTCAGAAAAACATATTCGGTGACCATAAACTCATTAGTAAGCTAGAAAAATAAACTGTAGAGAGGGGCATTTTGCTAAATATATGCACCATATAACATATTCATTATCATTTTTACTGTTCTTCAATGTTTAATTTATGTTTGGATAAATCCATCAAGTTTTTATGATAGCCACCATTATGTTTATATTTCAAAAAAACAAATTGAAGTAGAAATATTAATATGTAACTGTAACGTTATTATTGTAAAAACTTCATTAATTTTAATCTTAAATTTTATAGTAATGTAGTACCAACTGACTCTCATATATATTTTACAGCATTAGTTGAGAGATTTTTATTGGATATACAGTGGGTACGGAAAGTATTCAGACCCCCTTAAATTTTTCACTCTTTGTTATATTGCAGGACAGCACCTGCGTTAAATATATGAGTGTCACAGCAAAGGGGGTGAATACTTAGGACCATGTGATATTTCTGTTTTTCTTTTTTAATAAATCTGCAAAGATGTCAACAATTCTGTGTTTTTCTGTCAATATGGGGTGCTGTGTGTACATTAATGAGGAAAAAAAATTAACTTAAATGATTTTAGCAAATGGCTGCAATATAACAAAGAGTGAAAAATTAAAGGGGGTCTGAATACTTTCCGTACCCACTGTATATATACAAAATAATCGATATTGAATCTAATTGCAAGCTTGTGAATGAGAATCGAATCGAATCATGAAATTTGTGTCAAAACCCAGGCCTAGTAACCGTAGTAACTTTGGTCCACACCCTGTGCATTATTTTCTAACAATTCAACGGCCCGTCGTCAAATATTCCTCACCTAAATGCCACTTCAGGTGCCGCTTGTATTTCCTCTGCATTCCAAAGATGAATTTTGTTGATAAGAAATTTAATTTGCTTGGTAACAGCCCAAATGTCTTATAATTCTAATTCACTGATTAAACGTAAGAATTTGACTCAAAAGATAATGCACACTTTTAGAAAAAAAAAAGGCTTTATAAAGGTAAAAATCAATTTAAACTTATCAGAAACGTATGAAATCAGAAAAATATGAATATCAAAAACTTTAGGAGTCAGTTTAAGATACCAGCACAATAACACACTCAGCTAAATATAGTCTAATTATCGTTATTGATGAAATCTCAGAAAATTTTGAGATATTATTTTCTGTCAATATAGCAGAGCCCTAGTGTGGAGGCAGTACTCACGCAGGTTGAGAGGAGGAGGAGGAGGAGGAGGAGTGATGAAGGAGCTGGAGGCTCCCTGATACGCCATCAGACTGATCTCCCTCTGTCTCTGCTCCTGCTGCAGACGCATCTTCACTCGCCGGTGTCTGTATGCACAGCAGCAGCTCAGCATGATGATGAGGCTCCAGACCAGCCAGAACCCTGCAGACACACCACCACCATCATCATCATCATCCTCATCCTCAGTCCTGCTTACACTCTGGGGATCAGTCATGTGCTATCGCAGCGAATCACTTCCAGTGTCACACGACTTTAATGATTAATACAGGTAACTGATTAAATTAATAAATTGTTGATTAATCCATTTCAGCTCAAATGTGTTTCAGTATTTACTAGGGATGCACCGAATGTTCAGCAGCCAAAAGTATTCGGCTAAGCCAAATTCGAGTAAGCCAAAAGACAAATAAATTGTACTGAACAATGACGTGACACGATCAAATAGAGGCGCGCACTAATGCAGCAAACATGCCACAGTGTGGAAGTGAAAAATTTAAGGGGGTCTGAATACTTTCCGTACCCACTGTACAAATGAGGACAATAAAAGCAGTCAAAACTAACAAAAGAGCAACAATATAAGTGCAAATGTCAAGTCTTGGTTAGCCTAACGCAACGTAGCAAGGTATACAGTCATGGCCAAAAATATCAGCACCCTTGGTAAATATGATCAAAGAAGGCTGTGAAAACTAATCTGCATTGTTAATCATTTTGATCTTTTATTTTAAAAAATTCACAAAAATCTAACCTTTCATTGGATAATAATACATAGAAACAATTAACGTAAATGGAGGGAGTGAGCGGGAGTGTTGGATTCTTAACAGTGTGGTGGGCCGACATGAACACTCATGTCATCTTCATGAGTATTGAGCCATGAACTGTTTTTAACTGTTTTAGGCCACGTAATCTACCTGTTTCTAAATGCAATTAACAGGATGATCAAAAATAAATTCATTATCTAACTCTATTCTTTGATGCAATAAAAAAGAAATCAAAGAGGGACTTTCTGGCATAAGCAGCGACACATGGTGCTAGAAGGGAAGAGGTGGACGCTGAGAATTGAAGTCAACTGATATGAAACTGCTTTGATCCACTTACCATTTGCCTCTCCTGTCTCTCCAGGGCAGCTCTGTCTCTAGTGATTTGTCTCTGGGTGCCTCTCAGCTCTTTGGACTGCTCTTTAATGATATCTGTGACAGGATGGGGCAGAGAAAAACATGCAATAAAACCGTCTGGAAAATCCTCATACAGTTCACTGATCCGAAACTGAGAGTTTTTTCTCCTCCCTTTTTCCCCTCCTCCTTTGGTCTCTCTCTTATTCAGCCACAAAAAAATTTAAAGGCGTTTGGCTGACAGTCTACAGTAACAATGCAAAAGTTCTGCTACAACTTATTTACACAATTTTTTATATATGTTTATTATATATACGGCACCCTTGGTAAATATGATCAAAGAAGGCTGTGAAAATTAATCTGCATTGTTAATCCTTTTGATCTTTTTTTTAAAAAATTCACAAAAATCTAACCTTTCATTGGATAATAAGAATTTAAAATGGGGGGAAATATCATTATGAAATAAATGTTTTTCTCAAATACATGTTGGACACAATTATTGGCACCCCTAGAAATTCTTCTGAGTAGAATATCTCTGAAGTATATTCCCATTCATATTCACAATTTTGAGCACTCCAGGGTGATTATGAACATGAAATTATCCAGCCATGGCAAACTGTTTCACAGGAATATAAACAGGAGGGAAAACAAAGCCCAAATTCCCTTAATCATCATCACAATGAGAAAAACCAAAGAATATATTTCTGATGTGCAGCAAAAGATAATTGAGCTTCACAAATTAGTGAAGTGGCTTTAAGAAAAGAGCTAGAGCAGTGAAAATCCCCTTTTCCACCATCAGGGCAATAATGAAGAATTTCCAATCAGCAGAAAATGTTATGAATCTGTCTGGAAGAGGACGTGTGTCTATATCGTCCTAATGCACGCTGAGGAGGAGAGTTTGAGTGGCTAAACACTCTGAGGACCACAGCTGGAGAACTGCAGAATGTTCTAAAGAATCTTTGGCCCTTGTATTTACAGCAATGATGTTTTCATACAGATGTCACAACGCAGAAAAATCTAAATTTTCCTAAAACAAGCTTCATTTTCTTTGGGCAAAATATACATTTCCATTTATTCCTTTTGATTTTGAGTTGATATTTGAGCTGAACATGCTCTTTTTACGGACTGGTGGACCAAACACTTCACTAGCACTGTACTGTTGTGTGTGTGTGTGAGTGTGTGTGTGTGTGTGAGTGTGTGAGAGAGTGTCTGTGTCTGTGTAACGCTGTGTGTGTGTGTGTGTGTGTGTGTGAGTGTGAGTGTGTGAGTGAGAGAGAGAGTGTGTGTGTGAGAGAGAGAGAGAGAGTGTGTGTGTGTGTGTGTGTGTGTGTGTGTGTGTGCGTGCGTGTGCGAGAGAGTGTGTGTGTGTGTGCGCGTTTTTGTGACAAATAAGGACATAAATTTGTATAATGACAAGGGTATGACA